AACGCCTGCCTCCAATCGTAGTGTCTTGCGCCGCCGCATGAATTCCTTGACAAGGTCTCCACCATCCTTCATCAAGGCTGCGAGAATGTTGTTGGGTACCACTCCAAGTAGCACACCATTCATCATCGCACTCCAATACAAATGTTGTTGTCCATGCACACTGATCTTGAAGTGTTCACATGCCACTTTTGAACGTATTGGACCACTGCTGTGCATGTGGGACCACCGCTGCTTCGCATGTGTTGTGGCATCGGATGCATTTCGTTGTTGTCGTCGACGGTTGAGACTTTTTCTATTGTCCCGATGTCTTTAGTTGTTGTTGGTTGTTGTTCTACTACTACAGTGCTGCATCTTCCATGCAGACGTCCTTGACCTTTCGATAGACAAATCGTCGTTTGGCAATCTGTTCCGCGTATTCAAGGTGCAAATTCGTCGTCAGCGTTGCGCTGAATTCCTCCGTGGTGCAAGTGCACATGGCGAGTTCGAACATGTAAGTGTTCTTTTTGTTGACCATGAACCAGTGGGCGACTTGCTTGTCGTTTCCTTTCTTCGCCTGGATGAAATGAACAAGTCCCTCGAGGTCTTGATGCACGGCATCAATTTGAATGTACAGTTTGGCTTTTTGTAGGTAAGCTTTGTCGCTTTGGAACCATTGGTTGTTGGTGATCCATTTGGCCACTTTTTGGTATCCGTACTCTTGAATCAACTGCACGAGATCCAAGACGCGTTCGTGGGGTGTTTGTGTGCCGACGGAAATGAATTGTTGTTGGGCTTCGTGCCAGAATTCGTATCGGGCCTGTGGCACATGTTTGTTCATGTCTCGATAGACACGACGGTTCTCAGCTTGTTCGCTCTCGTAAGAAGAGTACCCCACTACAGTGTTGACGGGAGCAAAGGATAAACGGTTTCCATTGCTCCGTTCGGTGTCTTGACCGTAATGGGCCTTCCAGCGAGTGTTGGCTGGTTGACTGGGTTGGATGCGACAACCTTTGGGCCGGTGCTGGTTGTTGTCGTATCCGTAGTGACCATGCTGATTCGCAGGAACCAGGGAAAGGTCGTAGGCACCTAGGTAGCGACCGTGCTGCTGGAATTCCACATCAGGATGCGTTCCGTGCAACAGTGCCGCGGTTTGGACGACATCTTTGTCCAACTCATCCAGTTGGAACGTCGGGACTTCCTCTGCCGCAGGAACGTCCTTGTCGTTGTTGTTGTTGCCCGTCATCTCCTTGGCGACCTGGAGAACGGGGGTCTTCATGGTGTTGCTGTTGTTGTTGTCGGTGGTCATGGACCACGAAAGCAGCTTGATGATAGAAGAAGAGAACTTCATTTTGCAATTGGTAGGTATTGAATAGAAGATAGATAGAAAGGGTAATTGAAGGTAGGGGGGTTGATCTGGCCTAGGCTTATCAACAATCGCGAAAGTCTTCCTTGTTCGGTTGGGTATGCAACTCTAGCAATCCGGTTGAACAAAAAAGTGAGCTCATCATGGTGAACTCCAAATTGGGATGACAGATTCTGCCAGATGTTGGGATGACAGATTCTGCCAGATGGATAATTTTGAAAAACGACAGGTGATGAGACCAGACTGAGCCACTGATGAGCACTGATTACAGGCTTTAAACTAGCAAACAACACACTTCCTGCGCCTCTCGGAGTAGTCTGGATGATAGCTACTTGCTGAATGCCCTCGGATGCATGCTTGGATGGTGTTGTTGCCGAGCTGCGGAGCTGCTGCGGAGTGCGGAGCTGAACTCCGTTGCATCGGATGGATTCCGACCGCATCGACTCCTTACACGACTCAGAGATTGAGAAGCGGCGTGAATAGGAGCAAACAACTGCTTATGATCGTTCGTGTGGCATATCTCCTTTTAATTGGGCTTACTCGCTTGTGATCGAAAGAGGCTTATATCTTGAATTATTTCACTTTAATTAAGCCTGATTTTCTTTCTCCAAAGACTTGAAGGGGCTATTAATACTGGTACTATTTAATTAATAGTATGTTCTCCTTACTTCGCGCAAGCTCGTTGCGCTCACATTTTAAAGGATTTACATGGTCGAGTCATTGAATTCAGAAATCGCGATCTCGGACCGTTCGGTACGAAGCTTCGAATCGAATCGAATCGAATCGAATCGGTGACTCGAGGACTACGGAGAGACGAACGAGATGATTGAATCGAATCATTCATTGGCTCCAAGTTGACTGGCTCCTGCGATGGCAATTCCCACCAAAATAAGCCACTCCCAGCCCTACAGCGACACATGAGACCACTCCCAGGGCTGGTACCCCGGCCCGTGTTCCTCGCTCGGACAACGTGAATTTTCAGCCCTACATCAAGGTCCAAGGATGTCATCTTTGTGTTCTCCCAGCTTCAGGCAGTCAAGCTTTACTGTAGCTACTGCTACAAAATCCCAAATCCAGTGTTTCCACACCAGTACAACCTACACCTTCCCGTGGTGGAAAAAGAGGCAATTTGTCATCCAACATCAGGAGAAGACTGACTGGGGGCCTCTTTGCCTGGAACAACAAGAGCCATGCCGTCACCATCCACCAACAGATCGGTAGCCACAACGACTGCGTGACGCCTTCCAAGAAGACGGCCGAACAACACATGCGAATTCCTTGGTGGGAGCGACCCTCGATGAATGGGACCCACCGTTTAGGATTTTGGGATAGGACCATGAAAATCACAGTAACGGAGGTTTAGAGCACAGTCGTAGGTGGATAAGCAAAGAAGAGTCGAACTTCAGGACCCGTGGGATCAAGAAGGGCGATAAAGTGAGGACCATGACAGGGGCCAAAGGGTTTGTTTGTTCTGAAAACGGACGCCGTTCACGATACAAGAACCCGTACTAAAAGCCGCCGTTAAGTAAAACTAGTTGTATATCCCGTCTCGTGCACTCCGTGGCTTCTGTAGCACACACGCTTCATCCGGTGCCGTGCCGAGAGCCTCCTTCGTGCCCCATCAAGAATTCGATAGTCAACTTTCCTGTTGCAATACACAGCAAAACTTCGCTGGCCATCTACGAAGAGGAGCACGCTGCCACAGCCAGTGGCTTCTGAAAGGCATGCTCTGCTTGCCATGGCTACGGTAGCTACCGCATGACGAATGTCAACGACAAACCCTTCATAGCCAAAAGTGGAGGGATAGGAGGTGGGGCATCCGTCGTTTCGTTTGCATCCTCAAACCAGTCTTCCTGCGTTCATTTTGTATTGTTGTCTATAGTCACGGCGTGACACACTCCCGAGCAGACAATGTGACAATTTTGACCTTGTTGCCGGTTCGTCCCGGTATTTGTGGATCGGTGGTGATTTCGACGGTACACTTGCCCGTACATGCAGGTGTATCGTCCTCGGTAATTTGCATGTCATTGGGTACCGAAATCTGAGGCTTCCACAATCCATCCACACCGGTTTTTGTCGTTTCTTGGTTGGTTTTTAAATCTTTGACAGTCACGGTAAACGTCCCCATCTTTTCATACGACTTGAGAATGGCCAAATGAATCGCATAACAGCGTTTCTCTGGCAAATCAATGGGAAACGTCACAGTCTCTCCACCGCTTGGGTTGGTGGCGATCCATCCTGGACGATCCACGGAATCACCATACAGCTTGAATCCTTCCGAGTGAGTTTTGGCCATCAGTGGATCTTTCTTGGCAAAAATCTCCATGCAATCCTTGACCAATACAAAGTTGCTCTTTTCCGCCAACACTTTGGGATCGCCCACCATGAGTCCCACCGTAGGTAAAATCTGCTCTGGATACAAATCCTGCCCAAATTGACAAATATCACGGGCTGTGGACGCCACCGCTTCGGCAATCAAATCGGCCGCCATTTGATGCCCTACCGCACTGAGATGGACGGCATCATGCGCCAAAAAACTGACGTAACAGGGTTCTCGTCCTGCCGGTAAGGGATCGTCACATTTCAAGTCTCGTTGCCCAGATCGAAAGGCAAAGACACAGAGTGATTTGCATCCCTTGCTGCGAAAGGGTGGATCAATGAATTGGTCGAGGCACGATGGGATACATCCATGTGGATAAGGCAATACCGGGTCTGCCACGGACTTGCCATTGTCGTTGTGAATTGTTGTTGCAGTGGAGTACTGATCGTGTTGTTTGAGCTTGTCCATGAGTCGATAAAAGTCTGGGAAAAATGTTTCGGCATAGGAAATGACGGGTACTTGATAATGTTTGGCGACTCCCATGTGGAGCAGCGCTGCCGTTTTACGATTGAGAATGGCCGTCTGCAATTCTAAAAACAGGACGGCGGCATTGGGATAATGGGACAAGAGTTGATGTACCACAATTTCGGCACACAGTACCAATCGATCAAATCCTTCAAAGAAAACGTCCGTTTTGTGATCCAAATGTATCTTGTGATCTTGTCCTTGGTACTGCAATGTGAAAGCAAACATGCAACCAAGAAGAATTATGAGTTTTGTGTGAACTGTGCAATATTCTTGGCCATGCATCCCAAATTTTAAAATTGAAGCGAAAGAAACTCACATCATTGACTGCAAATTCCAAAACAAAAAGATCTGGATCTGCAGGTAGTTCTTTGGTCATGACATTGACACGCTTGGCCATGGCACACATCTGATGGAAAGGGGAAAACGAGTCAGCAAGCAAAGCATCCATTTATTTTCTGGCAAAAGGAACTTAACTTACATCTGCTCCATGACTCCCACGGTTGTATACAATATGTTTCTCGCCATTTTGCTTATTATTGAGAGGATAGTAGTCATTGAACCAGACTTGCAATCGATCTGAATAGCGCATGGTCTTCATAGTCAGGTGGCACTTAACTTGAGTTTGTCTGTCTTGATCTTTGCAAACTTGTAACAGATAAACTTACGGGACCACGCCATGCCCCAACGAAATGCTACCTCCACAAACAACTCCTGTAATGGGTCTTTTTCGTTCCTTGAGTGTCTTGGCTAGCATGGCCAATCGATATCGATTTCCCACAAGGGCTCGGGACCGTTCTAGATCATCCCTCGTGATACCCTTGGTCCGATTGCTGGTCACCCGTTGGTACTCTTTTTGGCACATGTCATCACCGCTTCCTAGCTTGCTCATACTACCGGTAGTAGTAGTAGTAGTAGTAGAACATAACTCTCGCGGTATCATCGACCCCCCATTGTTGGTGTGCTGCTGCTCGGAAGAAATGAGTTTCCAGGTAATGCAAGCCGATAGCAACATCAACAGAACAGCCAGCCCTTTCAATGTGGCAAACAGCGGATTGCCAAACCCACGGCTCGAGTTCTTCGTACTCCCAGTGGGTTTAGTGCTGCTGCTACCGGTACTCCTCCTTGGCATGGTGGAAAAGACTCCTCAACTATATATTGTAGGCATGCATGTACCGGTATGTATGTCTCCCCTTTTGTTTTGGACTCGTCACTCTTCAGTGGCTTCCTTGGTCTCCCGAGGTCATCACCTCGATCCATGTCCATGTCTCGAGATCTTTGAGATCTTTCGAGAAAACCCCAGCCTTAGTAGGGGTCGTACCGATTACTGGTGTCAGAAAGGTATTTTCGTATGACGGACAGACGACTCGGGATCCACAATCACGGTTCGTGATTGGGGATGTGTGACTCAAATCAGATGGTTATCCGATCATCATCAGATGGCCAGGAGTACGAGGTTGAGGAACGAGGACAATGTCGTCTAGATGATGCAACTACAAAGTTAGGAAGTTAGGTCGAAGAGATGAATGCAAGGAGCGATGGGACGGAGCAAATGAATGGACGGATGAAGGTCCATAGGTTTAGATAAGTGGGAAAGCCCTCCAGGGCCAACCATAAACTTCAGGAAGATAGATAGACGAGATCTATCTGAAATTAAACTGCGAGAAGGGAGGATCGAAAGATCCTGGTATATGTATGCATATCGGAGCTCAGTTGTAGAGCTCACAATTTGAACGAGAGAGAAAGAGGAAACGAAACAGATAGCCAGTTACTAGACAGTAGAGCTGGAAGGATATTGATTAAATTAGAGAATTGTGCGTTCAAGTTCACACTTTTCAACACGTTTAAACGATAGCTATCAGGAAAGAGTGAGCTTGGATCCAGGTTGTCAAACAGAAAAAAAAAAAGAAGAATTGAAAGTAAATAAAGATGTCTACGGAGGAGAGGTATTCATCGTCGAGCAAGTATCCCATCTTCGATGGGAAAATGAGAAGTTCAGGTTCTACAAGGTCAAGATGATGGCCCATTTATCAAATATGGGTACGTAGAACTAATGAAAGACTCTACGGAGATCAAACGCTGGACAACTGGGAAAACCCTCAGGTACGGGCAAGTTGTGGGACGACGAAGTAGAAAAATCGAAAGTCTGCAGAAGAAGAACAGCAAGGCTGCTGGAATACTGCTGGACTCGATCAATGTGGAAACCATCGAAGGGCAAGTCGCCTTCGACCTACTGGCCTCACACCAAACGACTGACCATGCTGCTGGGAAATTCAAGGGCATGTGGGAGTCCATGCTGGACCTCTACGATGCTGAAGACATGTGGTGAGGTAGCAGCTCGACGAACGGAATACTACGCGATAAAGATGGACATCAAGGAAAACCAAAGAAGTTCGAGATTGGAATCGACGTGAAACGCAAGAGCTAGCGAAGGATGGGTTTCAAGATATCGGACGAAGAGTACTCAAGGACCTTCTCGAGAGGATGCCGAAGAAGGAAGGAGAACTCGGAGTGTATCATGAAGTGAAGAAGAATGTTCTGCGAAGGATCAAGACAAACAGGACATGGAATAACGGTAAAGGTGTGGTGGATGACTTATGCGAAATCTACGATGGATTAAAGCACGGAACAAGTCGACAGACCACAATGGCGTAAACAGCTTTCATGATTGGAGGAAAACAATTCAAGGGCAGATGCAGGAACTGTGGGAAGATCGGACAACAAGCAACAAGACTGCCCAGACAAGAAAGGCATGAACGGAAGAAAGCTCGGACAAAGGTACCAAGGAAAGTCAACCGGTAAATTCACAGGAACAATGGGAACAGTAGCGGATTTCAAGGAAAAAGAAGTTCAGCGGAAAGTGCTTCCACTGTGGAAAGATTGGGCACCGGAAATCGGATTGCCTAAAACTCAAAGCGGAACAACGAAATGTAGAAGGAGCAAAACAAGCACAAGAAACAACGGAAGAGATTGCATTCATGACGATGAGCAAGAAATATGCATGCCATGTCCGAGGAGTAGAGTTGTCAGACGATGAAACAGGAGGAGTAGAGGAAGCATCGGAATATGAAGGAAAGAATGGGACGCGTTCTGGGAAGATTTTGAAAGCGGAGATGACGTGGATGAAGATGGAGAAAGCTTGGAGCAATTAACTTATGAGGCGTGGACGCCCTTAAATCTCTCCAAGAAGAACAACAACGACTGACTAAAGAATCAGTCACTACAACAAGAACCAGACGTTACCTATCTGTCCTGCGAAACAGAGAGCAGGGCAGATTCGACAGCGAAACACTCCACGATTTAAAGCAAAACGGCTACAACGAAGAAGTTTCTGAGAAGGAGGAGAAAACAACGAACGACAAATTCGCCCCAATCTACGAAGACGACAACTACTACAGCTGTTTAGCGAAGACGACGAAGAAGTAAAAGATGTCGAACAGATTCCAAGATGCCCGGAACGTGCTAGAGGCACAGCTGTACCGAGGTTGGAGTCGACACATGATGAAGATCAGCAACATCCAATCCCATTGAACAAACGACATCCCATGAACCGAGCAACCGAAGGATGGGAATTGGACGATTCACACATAGGTGGGATACAGTGGAGGAGAATCGGGAAGAAGACATGCCAACTAATCCCCGAAGACATATGGAAGGGCACTCGAGCCCAGAGATGAAGCAACTGGTCGGAAACTTCGAAAAGTTCAGATGGTTGCTGAGGATGATGCCATACGAGATACAGAACAACCCCCATCTCGTGGAGCTCAGGCGGAAGTGCTAGGTTGGGCCAGCATTTGTTTCTCTTTCGCGATGGACTTCAGACACGACAACAATCGCAGGGGCTATGTTAACGTGCAAGATAAAGCGCGGACAAAAGTCGGCGAAGGAACAGGAAACGCAGGAATTTCGGGTTCACGGCATTCAGCATTCCCGAAGTAGAAATGAAGTAGTAACGGAGATGGTCGCAAAGGCTCAATACAATCGGGATTGGAAGGTGCACGTGGATATGCCACTATTGTGAGAAGCGGATTCGCACACCCATGGCCAGTGATTGTACGTGGAAGCGCTTGATTCTGGTCAGCGTGCTCGTGAGCAGACAAGCAGAAGCATTGGGCAACGAGGCAATCAAACACCTGCAGAAGGAAGGATTACCCCAAGAGTATGATGCTCGGAGAGGAAGATTTTCGAGTGCAACTCTATCCTACGGAACTATGGATCCCAAGGGTCGCAGCCGATCGCATTTACCGTGAACAACAACGTCGCAAACCAATGGGCGAGCTGCTGACATATGCTTGTTGGAGTGACGACACAGTCCAGGCGGCTTCGT